ATGGGGAAACTGCGAATTCACAGTTAACGAGAGTGCGAATAAAAATTTCACACATGTTTTAAAGAGGAAAATACAAAATAAATGAAGAATAGAAGATGTATTTATTAAAGTTTAAATAAAATAATAACTTATTTGTTCCGAAAATGACGTACAGTCTCTTCATTGATATAAGCATACATTCACGTAATTTTCCCTTATCACATGGCAGTTACGAGACTGATAGAGCAATGGGAGCCTTTGAAACTATTTTACCAGCATAAGTATGGAGGAAAAATTTCACACAATTTCATCTATTCTAGAAATCTTAAATGATCCATCCATATGCCTATACTTCCATTTTCTCAACGATATTTTGCCAAAGTTTAATAACTTAAACCTTCTTTTCCGAAGTCAAGAACCTTCAATACAACATAATAGATGCAGTGATCTTTACCGTGATGTATTGTGGAGTTGCATGAAGAGAGAGATGGGGTGAACAGGCTCTCAAGTACAGCAAATATAGAGCCTGAAGACAACACAAAATTCCTCCCCCTTTATTAGATATATCTTGGGATAGAAGTTCCTGGTCTCCTCCAGTCTGAAGAGTATAGGGACAGGAAAGACATGTTAGAAGATGTGATGAATAGGTACAGGCAATTTGTGATTATATCTTGCAAAGAAATGAGAAAAGGGTTTCCACTTGGTAATGAACCTATACAGATGTGTTCTGTATTTTCAGTATTTTTTTTTTAAATGAGCAGTCGAGGGTGACAATGCCTTCAATGTTACCTTTAATGAACGCTTTCCCTAGAATATATCTCACGAACAAACAGCAGTTAGATAATGAGTGGAGAGCCATTGACAACATAAAATTTCCTGACTATAAAAAAATCAAAGAAATACAGAGATATTCTACAAGGAAATGTCAAGTATGAAAGATGATTTTGGTGAACCATATTTCCGTGAGCTGCTATACTTTGCTGTGAAGATATTATCTTTGCCCACATCAAATGTTGATGTATAAAGAATCTTTTCCAAGGTGAATCTGACCAAAACTAAGCAAAGAAATATTCTTTCTATGCAAACTTTAGCATCTCTAATCATTTCATCTGAAATAGTTCACAAATGTGTTTCATACGAGCCAAGTGAAAATTTGATTCGGTTTGTAAAAAATCATAATGATTAATTGTAAATACCATGTATATGTATTGTTTATTACCTTTGTATTTCATTACAAAATGGGGAAGTATATTCACATTTTGTTACTTTTTTCCTAAACCTTATTACGATTTCTTTTTCATTCCATATCAAAATAAAACGTATTTCAATATCAATAAATATCGCCTTTGATATATTCTATCTATTTCCTGTTGAATTTAGTGACTCAATAATTGTACTATCGTGGACAAAAATTCGCTCCCCGTGGTGAAACTGAGTCACGGGAATGAATCTCCGAACTGACTTACCCTGACTGTCATCTGGTGCTGGTGTGTTTTTTTTTGTTTAACAAATTTATTGGCAGAGCTTGTAGTACAGTTTGCCTATTCTGAGTAATTCAGTCAGGTCTTGACACTGAGGGTGGTATCACTTCTCACTGTCACGCAGGACAGAGGTTCACACACAAAGAAATACATCATATTCATTAACAACTATAAATGTATATAGGTCAGATTCATATGGGTAATGTCACTGTTCACTGCCACGCAGGCTGTTTTATCTCATTTGGAGTCAATACTGCTTCAGATTGGGAGGGGGATAACGTTTGTCCACGATAGTACAAGTTTTCTCTTAAGTGACGTGTGGCAACTGACCGGTGTGAACTAAACGGCAACTCTGATAGTGGTGAGTCAAAACAAGTTGCTACGGATACGTCAATTCAACTCAGTGTTCGCTGCACACTCACTGTAGTGGGTGCTCCCGCTTCTTTTGGTTGTGCCGCCTGAAGTAGTGCAGTACTCTACGTCTGCCGACCGTAAGCTGTTATAAATTGTGGTGTTAATAACAGATACTAATTTCTTAGAAAACAATAAGGTGTATATTACTTTATACTTTCTACAGTATATGTATGTACTATGAATGTACAGTACTTTCTTTGTGATTAATGAGAACCTAAGTTAAATAATAGATCGCATACTGCTATACCAAGCATATTATAGATACAAATTAATAAGATTAATATTATATTTAGATCAAAGGGCATATGGGAGTTCCGCCTCTTTAGTGATGATTTAATGATGGAGCAATATATATATCAAGGTATTGGATATTTGGACCCATATTCGGACCCATATTCTAGAACAGGGTGGTAATATAGACGATATATGCCTAGATTTTGCCAAGGCTATCGACAGTGTACCCCATGAAAGGCTGAAAATCAAACTGGATGGACACGGGATTCGAGGAAATGTCCAGCGTGGATAGAAGACTTCCTACATGAACACAAGCGGTGTGTGGTGGTTAATGGCAAGAAATCATCATCATTACCTGTCACAAGCAGGGTACCACAGGGCAGTGTATTGGGCCCGCTGTTGTTTGTTTCATAAATGACATGCCTGACGTTGTACACTCCTCCATACAAATGTTTGCGGATGACGCCAAGTTATTTCGGGAAATCAAGAACCATACGGACTGTGAAGAGCTGCAGAAAAATCTCTGTGAGCTCCAAGAATGGTCGAAGAAATGGCTGCTGAGATTCAATGTCACGAAGTGTAAGAGGATGCACCTGGGGCGTACCAACGGTAAGGAGGCGTATCATATGTCCCAACGGGATGAAGAAACTGCACTATTTACGACTGAATGTGAGAAGGACCTAGGTGTGTATGTTGACAATGAGCTGAAGTTCTCGGGCCATTGCGAGAAAAGGGTAAATCAGGCAAATAAATTATTGGGTCTTATAAGAAGGTCGTTCAGATATCTAGACGGTCCGTCCCTCGTAACGATCTTCAGGAGTGAAATGCTGCCCCATCTGGAGTACTGTCACCCCGTCTGGTCCCCGAGATATGCTAGCTTGGGTGTATAAGCATCTCAGGGGGCACTACTCAGTCGAATGTCCGTACTTGGAGCTGGCAGACGCTTGCCCCACAAGGGGTCACAGCTCAAGATTGAAGAAGCCGCAAGTCCAGAAAACTAATGAGGGCAAACTTTTTCGGAGTGAGGGTTGTAAACTCTTGGAACAATCTACCGGAAACCCTGAGCCAACCCGACTCTCACACCCTCTCTCACTACATCCTCACTTGCCCTATGACCTCCTACAGGTCCCCAGCCGTTACCAACACCTCTTCCCTCCCAGACCAGATATCCCTCCTCCTAGTCACAGGCCTGGCATTTGACATTATTAGGGACCTGCCACTCTTTGCCATAATCAGATAAAATGTACCGGGAACTTTCCCCCCACACACTCATCATTCTCTCACTTTATGTAACTTGACAAAACCTATGACCCTTCAGGCTTTTACGCCCTTAATGTACGAATCTTAAAGGCAAGTATGAACTTTTCATGCTTCCCTGTTGGGCGCTGTAAACGCTTCTGCGCTTCACCTTGCACAGGATGTAAGGGGGTGCCCAATAAACTAGCTCCCTCGGGGGCAAATCTGAATCTGAATCTACCAGAAAGTGTTGTGTCGGCACCGAGTGTGAGCTCTTTCAAGACAAGACTTGACCAACACTGGAGCAGGTTCAGGTACACTCAAGCAAGGTAGGTATCTACTTACCTTGCATTCAGGAGCCGGTGCATGCTCAGTACTTGCCAACGGTGCGAATCAAAGACGTGACCGATCGCTCAAGATATATATATATATATATATATATATATATATATATATATATATATATATATATATATATATATATATATATATACGTAATATTACGATTTTCTATAATAGAAGGGAAAATGTGTGGTGAGGGGTAACGAAGATACAGTACAGTACAGTAATTATATTAGAGTAGTCCTCACACTCGGTGAATTTCATTGTTCCTGTTATTAGTTTTATAAATTTCTGAATAATAACCACTGCATTATACACCATTCAGAGTGTTATATGAGATCACATTAGATTTGTATTTATCAATTGTAATTTGTATTACTTTTCGATAATAGGCTACTGAATAAAAAAATAACCAAAACATTCCAACAATTTTATTTTGACAATACATGAAAAAATACACATATTTAAACATTTAGAAGCATAACTAAGCACAAGAAATATATACATGACCTTATTTTACACATTGCAATATGGCTTGAGTTGTGTGACTCAACAGAATATAATTCTGCTAAAATATCGCTAGTAAAATGTAGGTAAGGTAATTAAATACGTCTACAATTTATTTCTGTGTGTTCTATATGGTATTTTAGCCATGAAAAAGCATATTTCCTAAAGTCGGTAATTTACCGAGTCGGAGCAGTGACGTCACGGCTTACCGACTACATCATCAATACCGATTAACAGACGAAGTACCGCCTGTGAGCCAATCAGCGTGTTCGATAAACAAGAGTGGAAATCCCGACAGCCCTCACTGTCAAGACTTGACTGAATTACTCAGAATAGGCAAACTGTACTCCAAGCTTTGTCAATAAATTTGTTAAACTAAACTAAGCCCAGTTCTTGCCAACAGAGACGTGACCGATAAAAGTAAGTAATATATTAACTAGGTGGTACAGTTGAACAGTAATAAGTCAAAGAAAATAATTCTAACTCCGTTTTATTTCTGTTGGAATACAGTATTCTTTATTCTTGCAGTATGAGTTATTGTTTTAATTAAAAAGTATTGCAATGTTCATTTGTTTTCTATTAAATTATTTATTCATAAGATAGAGGTAAAGGTAAAGAGTAATACCAAAAGGAACCATAGTTCGTGTCGCAGTTGCCAGACAGTAACTCATTATTCTCAGTAAACTTTCTACATACAAAGAAATTCCTCTGTATAAATATTAATTATAATAACTAAATTACGTTAAATAATATTATTCGTGATTTATAGTAATATTTTGTACGTTTAATAGACAACTTATTACACTACGCAATACATACTTGGTGAATGAGTCACTGTGTATAAGAGGAGGCGCAGCAACCATCTTGTGAAGGTTACTACCACAGAGAACCTTCCCCTATCTCTAGTTGAACACAGAACCGACGGCCACAGCTGGAGTCTTCAAGAACCCATACTCACACGCACCATCTCTGTGAAAGAATATTAACTTGAACATATATTAAAGATCAGAACTCTAGTGGATAATCATAAATAGAAACTCAATATTCAGGTTGGTTGTGACGGGAGTTTTTGTCCTTCATAAATTGACCAAGTAATTTTTGGTGGTGTTTATCTGTTACAAGTAGATTAATGTTGGGAATGTTTAATAGTAGCTCACATCCTCTAGCTAGCATACATCCTCTAGCTAGCTTACATCTTGTAGCTAGCTTACATCCTGTAGCTAGCTTACATCCTGTAGCTAGCTCACCAGCTGTAGGGTTCTGGTACAATAATTATGTTTTGCTTTCATGCACAGTATATCTCCACTAAGTAATAAACGTCAGATCTGAAGTAAAATATATGTAGACATACTCTCAAAGTTAGTGAGTTGCATACTAATATCCTACATTAATTAGTAAAAATAAATGCATTAGTATACAGTACTGTGTGTTAATTGTTATTACGATGTGTGACTGGTAGTGAGCGATAAGTAGGATTTATTTATAGTGCTTACTGACAAAGTCTCTCGCCGTCTCCCCTCGTTGTTGAACCTCCAGCCACTGCCGCGCCGCGACGCTCAACACCCCACAGATCGTTCTGTGAAGTCAGTTGCCAGTTAAGGTAAAATCTTTAAATAATGTTGAATTGTATAAAGCTGTTCCTATACCACTAATAGTGATATAATTTTCTTATACTGTCTTTAGATTTTAATTCTATATTTAAAACCGGTTGGAATTGTTAGTATAAAATATTTTTTTTTATCTCGAAGCAAGTTACGTAGGATGTTGTTAAGTTTTTGTGTTGATGATAACACCGTGGCAGTTGTAGGCAAAGCAACTGCGTTGAATTAGAAAGGGTAAATGATTATTCATGCACCCAACAGTCCTAGATTTTGTTTATTTGGATGATGATGGCTTGAATTGAGTTATATTGCAGACTGTTGCAGTGCTAGCTTATGGAATGATGCATAAATGACTTTGGTCATGTGAAAGTTTTCTTTGCTTTTGCTTTTATCCTCTTCACCACTGATCAGCTCGTTAGCCACTTGAGCAATTGTTCACGTCTTGTTACGCACTGTTGGCAAGTACTGGGCATGCACCGGCTCCTGAATGTTTATCTGAACCTGCTCCAGTGCTCACACTCGGTGCCGTCACAACACACTCTGGCAGATTGTTTCAAGAGTTCACAACTCTCACTCAGAAAAAGTTACCCCTCTCAGTTTTCTGGACTTGTGGCTTCTTCAACCTTGAGCTGTGACCCCTCGTGGGACAGGCTTTCACCAGCTCCAGGTATGGGCACTCAACTGTAGTGCCCCCTGAGAAGTTTATAAACTTCAATTATGTCACCCCTTCCCCGTCTATAGTATAAGCCAGGCATTTGCCAGGCATTCTAATCTCTCTGGGTAACTGAAGAGTTGTCGACCAGGCACCAGTCTGGTGGCCCTCCTTTGGACATTTTCAATCAACTTACAGTCTCTACCTTATCTTGGAGACCAGACAGGGAAGCACCTCACTCTTGAAGAGCGTTACGAGGGACGGACCGTCTCAATGCCGAAACGACCTTCTTATACTGTCATAAAACTGTTGGCAGTCTTTTACAAGGTAGTCTCATAGTAGATGTTCCATCATAGCATCTCTTATGATACTCTCTAGTACTTTACATATTATGCTGGTTAGGTTCACTGGGCTATAGTTATTTGTGGAGTGACTATCTCCCTTCTTGAATATAGGGCTCACATAAGCCATTTTCCAGTCACTGTGGGCCTTTAGCTCATCCAGGCATTTACAGAACAGGATCTTAAGGGGCTCAGCAAGCTCATTGCACAACTAGTATCTTAGCCCGCTGGGATGCACCATATCAGGGCCGTGGGACTCTTTATGAACCTTCAGCTCTGACAATTTATTTATTTCTTGTATCCTCTTCTGAGTACACAATGTGGGTCAACGCTGTATTAAACTGTCTTTCCTCAAACGCAGGAAGATTGTTCGCATCCTCCCATGTGATCACCGAGGAAAAGAATCTGTTCAACGCCTCCACCTTGTCCTGGTCAGAATCTGCATAATTACCATGTTCTAGCCTCATGTTCAAAAGAAATGTGTGGTGAGTTTTGTCAAATTCAAAGTATGTCATCTGAATACAGGTACTGGTACTACAGTACTGTACACATTATTTTCCCCCAAATTATGTTGGAAAAGACCTTGAGGTTCTAAAATAATCATACAGTACACTTGTGTCATTATTGGAGTACAGTACTGTACAATAGTTAATTTCCTAGTTTCTGCCTTTTGGACATGGAAATCTGGAAGGGCTGTGAATACATGCAGATCTTAGGTTCTATTTGTGGGAATAGGTGAGGGATTCATATTACTTATTCCAATTAATGACAGCTCCTAGCCACTGTGTACCTGCATTGTATAGTGTCTGCAAAAGAAATGTGCCTCTTGTAACCTAAACTGATGTGGTACATTTCATTTGTGGAATTATCCCTGCTCCCATCAGTGGATGGAGTGTACGGTATCATACATCTAGCAGTACCAGAACCCTCCGGGATCCCTAACAGAAGCTTACTCAACTTTCAATTGCCTTTTGGCATTCATAGGGGGTGTATGGTATTATGTGCCACATCTTCCCAACCTTGGATTATCTAATATAATCAGTTGTAGTCTTGTATTTCCTTACAAAGAGGTTAATAATGGGCCCAACCAAGCTTTCCAAGGAGGCAAAAGAGTCGAATTTTAGCATGGAAGAAGCTAAATGTGACTACGGGTCCAAAAAGACCGCAACTTACATTAAAAACATAGCTGCTAAGAACTGCACCTGACTTGTACACCACTTGAGTGAGTGAGGGCCTGTGACACCAGACCAGGTGGTGCCCCCATGATCCATGAGACACGTGGTGAATGAGTTACCATAACATGATGTGAGGTCCCTCATAGCACCATCTGTGAGGAAGCTACACCACATGAAGTCTCTCATAAGACCATCTGTAAGGGAGCTACACCACATGAGGTCTCTCATAACACCACCTGTGAGGGATTTACACCACATGAGGTCTCTCATAACACCATCTGTGAAGGAGCTAAACCACACGAGGTCTCTCATAACACCACATGTGAGGGAGTTACACCATATGAGGTCCCTCATAACACCATCTGTGGGGGAATTACTACACCATGTAAGGTCCCTCATAACACCATCTGTGAAGGAATTACTACACCATGTGTTTGCTGTTCAACACCTCAGAGCATGCGACCCCAAAAATTTTACAATGAACATTGATAGGTATATGAAGGTATTGAAAGATCACATGTTGCTTTCATATGTAATTCATGGCACAAACATTTTCATGCAAGAAGGAGCACCCTGATATCCCCAAAGTGCTTCCACATGATTGCCACCCATTATTTATGGTTATTTTTCACATGAGGGATTATAAAACAAAAAAACAGAAATATGGTTATTTACTCATTTACTAGTGTTTTGTAATTTGTCCTTTGACATTCATTACTGCTTTCAACCTCCTTGGCACCACATTGTAAATAGCACATGAGTAGTGGTGCGTAGACTGCCACAGTGAGTGGTTAATACTCGGCTCTCAAGCCCTCCTCCCCTCCGCCCGACACTTGTTATTCTCATTGGGTAAATAGCAAGTGCAAGTTATTTTTAGAAACACTATCATGCACACTAACAGCAAGAATTTTAGATCCTGTGTGGTGGCAAGTTTGAAGGACTTGTGAAGTACAGTACTGTACTAGTACTTTATTAGTACTCATACTAATTATAATTATGTACAGCAATCAATGATTACTGTACAGTATATATGATTACTAATCATATATACTGGTTCTTGAGAGTACAGGGGCAGGTATTTTATATTTAGTAGCTACAGTATTCTGGTTCAGGGGTAAAATGATCCCGATTCTCACAACTACACTATTGTATTTGAAAGCCAGTTTTTCACTATATACAACATACCCTGACAATTCACTGCTTTTTAATTCACGGTCCTCGATTATTTATGGATGACACCCTGGATGTATCCAAGAATGTCTGCAGGTAGTTTTGAAGTTGCTGATATTTTTGTGCCCGGGACGGGGAGCCACTTGTTCTCGAGACAGTACAGTAATTTCTTTTACCTGTATATTGTATATATGTGTGTGTGTAGACACACATGCATATATACAATATAGGTAAAAGAAATAATTGTCCTAATCAAACACACAAAAGTACATTTCTTTACACATGAGTAAAAATGTAACACTTCCTGGTCAGCAAATTATATTCGTGGATTTGGCTAGTCGTCGCTATTTTGAGACCCAAACCCCCGCAATTTTTATGGATATGCTGTACAGTAGTTTGTAAATGAAAGGACATCATATACTGTACAGTACTTTACTGTCCATACTGTCATTAATTTGTGCAGTAAATTATTGAACACACCAAAGCTTGGAAGGTATGGAGGAGGAAGTTCCCACCCTCCTGATCACTTGCCGGGTATCATATTTTACCTACATACACTATGTGCATCATGATCTTACTTCTTGTTATAGAATTTTGGAAGGGATTTAATAACAATTGTTATACTGTGTAGAGGTGACGTTTGTAAAATAGCTACAGTACACTGTTAAACTGATAAATTTCCATTTCTTAAGTATTTAATCTTGATGAATTGTTAATTGTTCTTTTATTAATAATTTGTTTACTTTCCTTTCAGAAATGATGACTGGTAGATGCTTGATGGGCACCAGAAGTCTGGACAGAGATGTATAGAAAATAAAACTATCTCTTGGCTCCGCTTCTGTAAAAACTGTAATGTGGCTAAGAAAAGTCTAGCATATCATTACTGGAAGGGCAAATTGTTTGGAAGAACTTTTTAGTGAACTGGCTATTACTTTATACTTGAATAAAAGAAATATATTTGTGAAGTTAATCGCTTTTAATCTCTCAAAACTACTTATCTTATACCGTATATTATACCGTTAAGAATACAATTTGGGCCATCTAACACATTGGGCAAATATAAGATTCAGAACAGTGCTCATCTACACTCAGAGAGAGGTCGGCAAGAGCACGAATATTAACAAGGTTTTAGTACTTTATATATATAGATAGTGCAATGGGTGATGCCAGTCTGAATAATGAACAGCTTTCAAGGGAGCAGTATCGCAAGAACACATTTACAAATATTACCTTTAACATAGATGAAGAGGCATTTGCAAAGGCTGGTTTCTATTATACACATAAAGGGAATGTTGTAAAGTGCTTTCAGTGTAATTTAGAAATTGATACAAAACAAATGACTCCAGGAAAAGATATCACCATTCTCCACAAGGAAAAGAAACCCGATTGTATATTTGCACAATCCTTCAATCGGTCCAAGAAATTTGCTTCCTATGACAGTCTACGGTTTGAGAAAGAACGCTTAGAAACCTTCATTGAGTGGCCAGTGCCTTGGCTGCCTCCTCGTGACTTGGCTGCTGATGGCTTTTATTACCTGAGGACTGCTGACCATTGCGCCTGTGTTTTCTGCCGAGGTATTGTAGGTGCCTGGGAAATGGGCGACACACCCAGAGGAGAACACCAGCGGCACTTTCCCCACTGTCCATTCATCAGGGGCCAACCAGTTGGAAATATTCCACTTGTACACAGTGGTATTCTATCCAAGCTGAGTCCTAGTACTGGTGCAACACATTTGTCAACCAAACATGGGGTAGGAGTAGATGTCTGTGGTACTCCAAGACACATGGCTGGCTCATATCCAGAGAACAGTAAGTATATACTTTTTTTTTTTTCTCAACAAAAGATCTTATCTATGGCTAAGCAGTACTTTTTGTACAGGGTGATGAGGCAGATTCTTTTGAACTTTGGTTGAGTGGTGGAGCAAAAAATTTGGACTTAAATCATTGTTTGATGATGAAATACTTTAAATTCATGTATTGTAATGCAATACATGTAATTAGTAAATTTTGATATGAAAGATAAAAATTGTAAAATGACATAATTAATACTTTGGGTTCCCCCGTTCTGGAAAGCTCTTAGGACGGTCTACAATGGAAAAAGTAAAGAGAATGTCATAACTGTAGAGTCACCTCTCCTGGGTATATATAGTTTTCACTCAACCTTTCCCAGTACTGTATAATGCAGTGTGTCTAGAATCAGTAACAAAGACACTCATATTCAACCTTCATTTTTGTCTTCATTCATTCTCACTATGTTGTGTTTTGCTCTAATCCATTCTTGACCAAGGCCCCAAATATCAGTTTGCATCTGTACTGTACTTCACACACACACAACATCAGCTGTCAGCAGCACATCCTTCTTCAAATATCACTTGATGTCATGATTCATTCAAGCACACTGCTGGATGTTAATCCCACTCACACCTTTCTCCCCACACCTCCAGATTTATTAATATTATTTTATTTTTTTCAACCTTTGACTTTACATTATTTTAATATGTCCATTACCATCTGTGAAAACCTTGGGGTTCATTCTGCCCCAAACTTCTTTCACTCCCACATCATCTTATTTCATTATTATATATGCTTGGTAACCACACATTTAACTTGAACACTTGATTTCTGTTCCTTCCAATTAGCTCTCTGTAACCAGATTCCCTGCTTCATACAGTACAGAAAAGCCTCGAATAACGACAGTAATGTGTACTCCAATATTGCAGTGTAAGGTGAATCGTCTTATCACGAATCACTAATTACCATTAAAATAAAGCAATAATAATGAGATGTGTTCCATGTGTGACCTTTTCATATCTTTTGTGTGGCTTTTTACCCTCTTTTCCCCCAAAACAAGACAATTAATGAAATTTGCAAACTATATTCTTTAAATGATGCTTCTGAATGCACCTTATACAGTACAGTGACCCCTCGTTTAACGAACACCTCGGTTAACGTAATTTCGATTAACGAACTGCCTTCCATAAGGATCTTCAATTCGGTTAACGAAAAAAAATTCGCTTAACGAACTTCTTACGAACCGACCTCAACATGTTTTCGCTTGCACTGACCGGGCAACCAGCTTTAGTATCAGTCCGCCAATACATTAATCGGTTCTAGGGCTTAAATTCCTTACTATTTTTGTAAATATCAAGAAGTTTATACTATTCAATAATTTTAAAAGTTTAATATTCAATTTTTTAGTCATTTTAACAATTATTGAACGAAATTGAAGGTAAAGTGACTAGTTTAATGCGCGGCATCCAGCCTCTTAACACAGCAAACAGGCGTCAGTCTCTCTCTGTTTTCACTGGAGGTAACATCTTGCTTGAGACTCTCTTCAACTAAATGCTTTTTTTCTGTGTTTCCAAGCAAATTATTGGTCATTTTGAAATATATTTTATATATTGACAATATATAATGCAGTGCAGCATTGATTTAAAGAAAATAATCTTGAATTAAACCAGAGAGCTAAAATTTTATGGGTGAAATGGCACCATGGGGTGACTTCTCTTCCACCCCAATGCCTTCTCTTCTTCCTTCTCCTCCACCCCCATTCTAAATCCCATCATCATCATCATCATCCAGGAGCCTTCTACATACACACCTCAAAGTAAGTGAACTTTTCTACCATTTTTGTTGAATTTAGGAAATTTTCGGTGAGCTGGAACCAATTACCCAAAAACCCATTGAAACAATGGTTTCGGTTAACGAACGACCTTCTGGAACGGATTGAGTTCGTTAACCGAGGGGCCACTGTACAATATAAATGAATAATAATATGGTCACACAAGAGGAGATGGGACGCCATTGTTTTTGTTTGTGTTTACAGCCGGGAGTCCGGGACAATAGTTCTACACGAGAAAATTAAGAAAACAAGACCCTGGTTGTAGCTGTAGTGAACTTAATTGAAAAAAAATTAATACCTGTATGTATGTTTTAAGTAATGTTATTAAATGTTAAAAAATTTAACACTAGAAGTAGGTAACCACTTTTGGTAAAGAAATAAAGCGAGACAATTGGGGATGCCAATGTATGTACAGTAAGTGCGTACATGTGAAAACATATACAGTAGTCATTTCTCTACATATGAATATGAAAGCAAAACTTATTTACTGTTCATATATGTTATAAATAATATTTAAGAATGTAAAACAAAAATTATACTTACCAATGGTGATAAAGTCTAAAACATAAGGACAGCAAATGAACATTGTGCGAGTTTTTACTTAGATGATAGTCATCAGGTTCAACTCTGGCTGAAGCTGTAGTTTTCCATAAAGCTGTTGCTGAAACTGTTGATGTTGAAGCTGCTTATGATGCTGAATTTGATGGTGTAGCTGAAGTTGATGGTTTAGGCCTTCGAATAATAAAGCTGTCTAAAGAACCTTGCACAGCTTCTTTCTTTTCTCATTATACATCTTTATGTAGAGGTCAGTTGCATTTATTTAAATTTTAATGCTTTGTTCTGTAAACGGATCCACTTCAGAAAATATGTTCATTGCTTGCTCCATATAATATCCACAGACCTCTCACCTTTTTCATACCGTTTTAACACATAGTTCCCGGCTAAGCTTAGACACTTTCTATTAACTTTTGAAACAACACTACCATCACTTGCTGTCTTGGTCATGTTGAATAGGGATGAAAATATACTAAGAAAGCTGAGAAAGTTTTTCTCCTGTTCCTGTTCAGATGCGTGAAAACAAAGGGACCACCAGGCTCCGATTGTTGTTTACTGGTGATGCTCATTACCACTCATTAGCCAGGCAGCTTCTTTGCGCAAGACTCTCTTCATTTTTTTTTATTACATATTGGGATTTAGTTATTATTTATTTATATGAAAATGCAGTTTTATTTTATTTTTATTACATTTTGGTCGTAAATACGAATGAAATAAAGACGTAAATTGAATTGGGTCCTAAATTAACTAGGGTCTTAAATATGAAAAGTTGTTGGTCTAACCGTTGTTATCGGAGGCTTTACTGTGTTCCTAATAATGCAGGCTCAACAATTCTCTCTCTCTCTCTCTCTCTCTCTCTCTCTCTCTCTCTCTCAGTGTATAGATGACTTAACAAAACACAAAAACAAAAAAAAACAATCTACTTACCATAACATTTCCCTGACTTATATTTTCCTAGTCTCATTTCTACAGTCATCTCTCTCTCTCTCTCTCTCTCTCTCTCTCTCTCTCTCTCTCTCTGAAACACTTCACTTTGACCATTTAAATTCTATTCCAGTTAGCATTAATTTTCTCCTGTCTCCCTTCTCCATCAATTTTTATCACTTGTTTCATTCATCACTAACTTTTTCCTGATAGTACTACAGTATAGCAAGTTACATCTTCATGGCTGACAGTAATATTGCACAGAGAAACAATATATTGTACTGTATGTGTATTGACTCTTGTGTCTGACCACCCTGCATTACTGTAGTCTTGAAAGTGTAATAAATTATGTTGATTCTAGGATTTGAATACTGAATATATAATATACTGTGTTCTTGGATTTCAGGACCTCCAAAGAATGGAAGCATGGTTTTTGAGGGTATGGGCTTGCCTCAGCACAGTGGCGCCAAGCGAAAGGATTATCTGACATACGATAGTCGTCTGGCAAGTTTTGTCAGGTGGCCAGAACTTGTAAAGCAGAAACCTGAGGAGTTGGCTGATGCTGGATTCTTCTACTGTGGTAGGTTGAATCATTATGTCCTTGCACCATGCAGAGTTCAATAATAGTATCAGTAGTGTTAGATCACATTCATAATTGTCATAAATATGCTTAAGTCTTTGTACTGTACTTAGATACCATTATTGTACTATACTTGGTATTGTACTTTATGTAACTAAGGGTGCTATTTGGGTTCACCCTCATATGATTTCCATATTTTATTTTCATTAACCCATTCACTACAGTTGTCACTTTAAGTATTTTATTTGGCTGATTCCGGACAATTTTATTCAGCTCAGAGAGGACCCCGTACACAAGTGGTTAAAGGTTAAACTAAACAGAATTTCATAACACTACAGACAAAATGTTCTCAATTGTAATGAGTTTGATTTATGGCAATGAAGTAAAATTCTCACTTCAACACAGTGGCAAATAGCACAGTAGTATTTAAGTAGATTGCAACTGGTGCTGCTCATCATCATGCTTTTTACCTTCTTCTCATAAGTTACTGTAGCTTGTGTGTTGGTTGTGTGTCAGTTGATGAAGAATGGATTTTAGGATAGCCGATACTTACAGGTTTGAGCGATCACGTGCGCTGCTTCCACTGTGGAAGTGGACTTCGTAATTGGGAATCTGATGACAAACCCTGGGATGAACACGCCCGTTGGTACCCAGAGTGCAACTTCGTTCTGTTTAAGAAAGGACAGGAATTCATCGATAAGGTAAAATGTGTGTGCGTGTGTGCATGCGTGCGTGCCCTGTACTATATATATACAGTCGTGTCGCATCTTACTTACATTTAATTTTATGTGCTTGGCTCAGAAAAAAGAACTAAGTGATTGTAGGAGCGTTTAGCTAGGAGTTGTGTGACTGCTGATCGAACCTAAGCAACAGTTGTTAAAGATCGGTCGGCAGAGGCAGCACAGCCTAACTGAATTGCGATGCAGTGTGTGCATCATGTTGTATAATTTTTGCTTTTTATGCTTTCATTGTTTTTCCTAAATATTCTCTGTTGAAATCAACTTAACAATCAGTGGCAAAGAGGATAAAGTAAACTTACAGCAGAGGTGGTTGTGTGGTGCACATTTAGACTGAAATAGGCCTAACCTTCATTTCTCACACAGCTAAACTGTGGAATACTCTACCTCCTCTTGTGTTTCCATGCTCTTACAATCTGTCTCGCTTTAAAAAGCTGTTTTTTCAGCATTTCATGGTTTAGATTAATGTACATTACCTCACGTTAGGCTTTCCCACTTGTGATGCTTAATTATCTCAAGCTTGGTCTCAAGCATCACAGGCTAGTGGGGTCTCTTGGAGATGATGGGGAGGGGGGGATAACAGAAGAATCACCACTACGTTTGTATGCCATTGAGTACAGATTCATGAAAGGATTGCACAAACGGATAAAGGGAGAGCGCTTCTCTTGCAACAAAAATCAGCAGTTAGATTGCGTTCCTGCACATATTATAGAGCAAAATGGTCGCACTAGGCTCATGATTTGAATTTTCGTTCAGGCCAACGTTTGTATATGTTAATGTCATCTTCAGATAGCAAAGTAGGATTTAAGAATAGAGCATTCAAACAAGCGAATATTGTATTCATATCGTTCTGATAGCGAGGGATACATGTACAGTACCTTGGAAAGGCTGAAAGATATTTATATTACAAAGAAAAACACTTGTAAAAGGAAATTCATTATTATCATTCTGGGAGCTGGGAAGAAGTCACAGCATTGACCTATAACAATATTCTTAAAATAGCTGTGTCAAGAGCTTCTGCCACTCTTGTTGTATTGATAATTTTAAACTCTAATCACTGAGTTATTTATTATTATGTTTCCTGTATTCAGTATTGATTAATTTTATACAGTAATATTTTTCTTGACTGACTACAAAATAGAAAAATTAGCTGTGTTGATGGCAGCTGTTACCCGCTTATCACTTCACTTGTACACACATACATTTAGAAGTGATAAGTAAAAGACATCAAGAGAAGGAACTGACTTTGTGTCAGTACTGTACTGTGCCAGTGTTATTAAAAACGTAATGCCTCTCATGTTACATTTTATCCACTTTCCCAAGTAGACAGTCACCTGTCTTGCACATTAGAACTGAGTAATTCTTGTTTCATTCATGATTCTCTGCATTCATTATTATCAGCTGAAATTTTCTTGATATTGGAGTCAAAATTTAAAACATTTGGAGCTGGATAGTAGTGAGGATCAAGCATTTGTACTGTGCAGTACTAGGGACATTTTCTTCAGCCTCATTATCCTGACTTTGGAGGTTTGAAGTCTTTTTCACTTGACTCATTGGTATCACTTATTTTCAAGATCCAAAGCCAGGTCAGGTCTAAACTGTCACCACCATCTTGCAGTAAATTAGCCAAACCCATTCAATATCAATTTCCTTTGCTGATAAATAGTGGGAATACTGTATATTCATTTTGGCATGGCTGGAGGTTCACTGAGTGTGGGGGAAGATATACTGATGCTCTGGTAACTTAGTTACTACCTGGACTCAGCATACAGCCTCCAGGCTGGTGGGAGACAAGATGTGTATATCTACATCCGGAGAACTCCCTTGGCTTTCATAGACAGTGTGGTCAGAAAATACATGCATTACTTAAACAACATGTACTGAATTTACAAATATTAAGTAAAATATTGTACTGTAACTATTTGAAAGTGCAGATGTTTACTTTTGAGTTGATATAATCATTTATAAACAGTCATTAAAGTCTAAAAGTGCTTAACCACTCACTACAATCTTGTAAAGAAGTTGATAATGTCAGCTCCAATTGTCTTGCTGTATACTTTTCATTTCTCTTAGAATATTAGCTTTGAGTGTGTTTAGCCTCCTTGCCATTGGGTGTTTGTGTATCTCATTTTTAAGGTAACCTCACAACCTGATTAAAAGGCATTGGGGGAGATTGTTTAACCTATTACTGTATAATTATTAGTAGTATTGTATATATAGCTATAAACATACTGTACACTATACACTATCGGGGGGCATTTGCTGATGGTAGAACAACCCTTTATTGGACTAGCCTCATGAGGGGGTGAAGTAACCCACTAGCTGCTAAGCATTATTAATCCGAAGATCACACTGCATCATGTCTGGAAAATGATATGATTGAAAGAAAATTATAAGATTTTTATTGTCTGATTCTCTGCAATGGTGGCACAGATTACAACTCGGAAACAACTTGGCTGTTCTCAATTAAATTTTTTGGTGATATACTTTAGCAACAATGTGTAGAAGAACAAGGTCAAGGTTATTGTGACTTCAATACAGGTGCAGATATTTTGAATGGAATTTGACATGTACTTTACTGGACAGTATACAGTGTATCACATGGAGGGAAAGTGTAGAGCATAAAATACAAAAATCTCTTTTGATTTGGTATGGAGCACAACTTGTGTAGCAGCACATACATTTAAAACAGATTTCACAAGGATTTGTTAATTACCAGATTAAAGTTTCTGTCAAAGATTAAAAACTTATCTGGATCCCTTGATTGATTGCATTCAGTCGGGAGTGGGGATTGTTCCACCATCAAGAAGCACAGAGCTTCTTATATTGCTTACCCAGTGAAAAAAAACAACAAAGGGTAAGTATTGAAAGTGTTTTGAGACCTCATTACTGATATTGTCTTTGACTTAAAAGAAAACATTGCCCACACCACATATGTAAAGAGGCACATTTATTTCCGTCCACACTTCAGTTCCATCTGTATCTGCTAGGTGGAATACACAAAAGCAGCCAGTGTAAAACTGCATAATTTTTTATGCTCTTTTATATGCATCCTTGGATTACTGATGAGTTTTTTTAAGTTTGATTTTTGTACCAGTGGCCACAGTTATGTTTCGCTGACAATTTTTTTTTATTATATCTTAATTGAGTTTTTCTTGCAGGTCCGACGTGAAAATCCTCCTTATATTCGTAGTCAACCTTCAGGTAAGGCCACTACAAGTACTTCAGCTTCTGCAGCTGCACCAGTCAAGCAAACCATTTCTGAGAGTGAATTAGACCCGTTAATGGAATTGGACATAATTCGTGCAGTACTTAATATGGGTTTCCCACAAGACAAAGTGAGAGCTGCTCTTCACAGGAAGCTTGAGCAGACAGGGTTGCCTTTCTTTAGTCTTGAACCATGCATTGAAGCAGTTCTACAATATATGGAAGAGGAAACCAGACAAACTCTACAGAAAGCATCTAATCGAGGAATAGAAAATGAGGCAACAGCACAGCAAGTTGCAAAGATACAAGCTGTCCAACCAAGGTCTCAACAGCAATCGTCATCGTCACTAGTAGCATCTGCTACTTCAAACTCACCTGTAGTTTCATCATCCAATCATGCCTCTTCATCTACATCCTCCGCAAGTGCATTTGGTCCTTCTGCTTCAGTGTTAGCTTCCACAGTTCCAGCACCATCTTCTGCTGCATCCTCATCCCCATCCTCAGCTATCATGTCCACCACATCTGGTTCTACCTCAGCTTCCAGTGTCTCTATCACAACTTCTACTCCAGCAGCTGATGAAACTCCAGTATCTGTTTCATCTGCTGCTGCTCCAACTATTACACCATCATCTGTTTCATCAGCTGCTGCTTCAACTTCTACATCAGCACCTGTTTCATCAGCTGCTGCTTCAACTTCTACATCAGCACCTGTTTCAGCAGCTGCTGCTTCAACTTCTACATCAGCACCTGTTTCATCAGCTGCTGCTTCAACTTCTACATCAGCATCTGTTTCATCAGCTGCTGCTTCAACTTCTACATCAGCATCTGTTTCATCAGCTGCTGCTTCAACTTCTACTTCGTTCCCTTCACTCTCAGCTGCAAACAGTGACAATTCATCTGTATCCCAAACAATAAGCACCGCTGGAGAGAGTGAGTCTATGGAAGTAGATGAACCAGCTGCCGCTGAAACTTTAACACAGCCTATGGATATTATTACTGAAGCTGATGAGATAATGGGTATAGCTGAAGTGGCCCTTAAGCCACCAACCTCTGGTCCTCCATCGCTGGATACCATTGAGAAAAAGGTTGAAGGACATGCATCCAGTGAAAAGGTACTCGGAGAAGCTTCCACGTCAAGGAATGTGAAAAAAGTACCTGCTAGTGCAACACCTCAGTCTTGTGAGTATTTGTGTTATATTAATTGTACTCTATGCTACAGGTTGACAACCCTTTATCTGAAATTCCAAAAACCGAAAGTATTTTTTTTTTTTTTTTTTAAACAGGGATTAGCCCACCCGGGCATAGATCACTGACCCACATCAGGGCCTGGGGGGCGAAAATGGAATAGTAATAATAATTATTCATAGTAAATAAAAATCAATAAAAATACACCAAAATAAAATATAACATTAATAATAATATTAACAAAAATAACAATAATACAGGAGTACTGTAATAATAAAGAAATACAAGAATGAAAAAAGATCAAAAGTGAGAAACACGACCTAGATCTATGAATTATTATTATTATAATTTTTATTATATTTTCGCTCCCCGGCCCTGATGTGGTTCAGTGATCTATGCCCCGGGTGGGAAAAAAATAAAAAATCTGAAAACCGAAAAATTCCGAAATCCAAAATGCCTCTGGCCCCAAGGATTTTGGATAAGGGATTGTCAACCTGTATTTGCAATATATAAAGTTTGTATGTGGATTTCCTTAAAAGAATGTTGAATTCCCAGTTGTATTCCATTACAGTACCTATACAGTATTGTCCTTCCTTAGTGCATGTAAGTGAGGCGGTTAACTTCCTAACGCATTTATATGAATTGTTTGTTCTGTTCTCTCCAGCACTATTGTCAGTACTGTAATCTGTTCTCAGAGGTATACAGTACAGGATTTAGACCTATCAAGATTTTACCATTTATATGTTTCTTTTTACTTTCTTACAGCTCAAGAACTTGCAGAAGAGTTGGAAAGAATCCGTGACATTAGAATGTGCAAAGTCTGCATGGATGCAGAGATGGATGTGGTCTTCTTGCCTTGTCAACATATGGTCACTTGTTCCTCGTGTGCTTTAGCTCTTGCCCAATGTCCAATTTGCAGAGAAGACATAAAATACTCCATTAAGCCAATTCTTTCTTAAGTAATGTCATTAAAAGCATGAAGCTGTATTATTACTTTGATGTTACAGTCAAACTTTCAAGATCTGAATGGCTGGAGACAAAGCACTCTTTAAGTCCTGGAAAAGGCTGGATGTGGGAGAACTAAACTAACTTACTTCATCTATACACAGTTTAAAGGTACTGGTAAAAGTGGTGTCACAAGAGTACCTAAACTGGCAAGCAAATCCAGCAATAGATCAAGAAATTCCAGCTATGGTACTTTTACTGTTCCTGGTTTCTCTCTACTTCTACATGTTGGGCTTTACTTGCCTGAAATCGGCATCACTTCCAAGATCAAAGGAGAGCTACTAATATATTGACTTGGAAGTATGGTTATTTAGCAGGTTTGCAAAAATTCCATTTTCTTAATTACTTAAATACTCGGCACAGTACATTAAAATGACCTTTAATAAATGTGATTTATGAAAACAGCATCACAGAACAGTACTGTGTATTAGAATGAATTAAATGATAATCCATCACCTACATAGCAAGTGTAGTAGGCCTTGGGTGATGCCTGTGCTGCCTTCCATTGAGAAGCAAGGAAAATTTCACTTGCCAGCTGATTGCTAATCCTAGAGCTTGCAGTGTTAATTTGCCAGCAGCTATATTTGCAATTTATCTGTATATTCGATACACAAACTTATATGTGAATGCAAGTATATGCTAAGATTTTACACGTGCTTATAAATTAATAGACTAGTAAAAAAAATTTTAATAAAAGTCTTAAAATGCACAAAGATTCATAACTGCAAACTGTGTATCAAAGTCAAACTACTGCACTAACAGGAAAAAACTTCAAGAACTGTTAAGCTTATTATCTCCTGAGAAGTGTCGATGAAAGCAGAAGGGTTCTTTGGCACGGGATTCTTAGAAAGTAGTCTTATCAGCTTGGAGGTTGCTTAACTCAATATCCTGTATCTTTATTGTATACTATTGTTATATTAAATATTACTCTGCATGAGAAATAATATAAGCTTTATAAATGTGTAAAGGAGTGAGGATCTGTTCATGGTGTGTGTAATACTGTATAGGGCTTGTCACCATACTTATTGCCATTTTCTATTCAACTTGTGATTCTGAAGTCCTTTCGAATTTAAATTTTATTTGTTTTTAAATAAGTGTTTTTGGGGTTCTAATGTTAACAGTAAACAGTAGTATATACTGTACAGTATGTACGTGTGTACCCTGGGTGGGGCGCTCAACCTCTTGCACCGCTCACTTTTACACCTCAGGGGGACAGATTTTTTTATCTTTAGATCAGTACAGTACAGGTATATACATTAAACATATAACCTATATGTAGTGTTCTTCCTTGGTATATACAATAAAACTGAAACGTGTGTGCCGTGTTCTCCCTTCATACATTCAAAAATGCATTCATGGTAATTGAGACTATTCTTAGGATTCTACAAGTGGTTGATATCTATACGCCATTAGTGAAAACCAACTCCTGTACTGTATTTTAGTTCATAAAAAATATATAACTTAAAGTATGAGGAGGAAGATTATGCTTTTCCTCTTTCTTTTGCTTGTGATCATTTACTGTACACTCAACAGCTTTAAGGGCAGGGAAACGTATCTTAACTAAGGGTGTTTAGGTTACAAGGTGTCCATAGCTCATTAATCTGGGTCTTAAATGTTTTCCTATATTTAGAAGTAAAGGGTATTTGCAGATTCTTTTGGAAGCTAGAATGTTCATATTTACATATTCAGTGCATTTATTTAGCTTTGCATGTTCAAAAAAACAAATTTGCTAATTTTGGGAGACTTAAGTCATTTCCTGAGGCAGTAGTGCTGAAGAGGTGCAGAGAATAGAAACTGGTTTTGTCCTTTAGCACTTCATAGACATAAAATACCTATGTCTATGAAGTACTAAAATAGGAAATTAATTGGTGTCTCTGCATATCTTGTGAAAATGACAGCTTTAAGTTGTGTGATGTATGTTGTAATAAAGTCGATTTAGTTTCAAGAGGGCACCATTGCTAAAGAATTCTCACTAGGAAGGTCAAAGATATTATACCATTCAAACTGCACATAAATGAAGGCACAGATGACAAGACAAATGGCCCTTCACACTAGATAATTGAATGCAAAAGATATGGAGGGGAATAGAGCTAGGATCAAACCAAAAATGACATGGAGGAGGGGTCTTAAGAAATTACCTCATAGATAAACTGACAAGAGGCCACACAGCTTAAAAAACTGCCATCAAGTAATCACTGCAAACCCACTCAACTGTGGATGATAATTGTGCAAATGTAAACAAAGCTATTTGGAGGAATGTTCCATGTGAAGTAGGAGCCAGAAAGGAGGACTTTGACATTGTCAAGCTTATCTATGGTTTGTAGGCATGTTGTGTTATATTATTTTCCACAGAAATTATAATCGGTTGGGCCAGAAGAACTGAAAATACAGTGACCCCTCGTTTAACGAACACCTCGGTTAACGTAATTTCGATTAACGAACTGCCTTCCATAAGGATCTTCAATTCGGTTAACGAAAAAAAATTTGGTTAACGAAGTTCTTATGAACCGACCTCAACATGTTTTCGCTTGCACTAACCGGGCAACCAGCTTTAGTATCAGTCCGCCAATACATTAATCGGTTCTAGGGCTTAAATTCCTTACTATTTTAGTAAATATCAAGAAGTTTATACTATTCAATAATTTTAAAAGTTTAATATTAAATTTTTTTGTCATTTTAACAATTATTGAACATAATTGAAGGTAAAGTGACTAGTTTAATGCGCGGCATCCAGCCTCTTAACACAGCAAACAGGAGTTTTAGTCTCTCTGTTTTCACTGGAGGTAACATCTTGCTTGAGACTCTTCAACAAAATGCTTTTTTTCTGTGTTTCCAAGCAAATTATTGGTCATTTTGAAATATATTTTACATATTGACAATGTATAATGCAGTGCAGTGTTGATTTAAAGAAAATAATCTTGAATTACACCAAGAGAGCTAAAATTTTATGGGTGAAATGGCGCCATGGGGTGACTTCTCTTCCACCCCAATGCCTTCTCTTCTTCCTTCTCCTCCACCCCCATTCTAAATCCCATCATCATCATCCAGGAGCCTTCTACATACACACCTCAAAGTAAGTGAACTTTTCTACCATTTTTGTTGAATTTAGGAAATTTTCGGTGAGCTGGAACCAATTACCCAAAAACCCATTGAAACAATGGTTTCGGTTAACGAACGACCTTCTGGAACGGATTGAGTTCGTTAATGGAGGGGTCACAGTATAGTAATTGGGATAATCTATAAGTATTTTAAAAGATTTTGATGACCCCCATCAGGAGTTGTATCATAGTGCCATACTTAAAAAGTATATGAATATGTTCCCTTATGTCTAAAAGGAATATTGGCAAACATGAATTTCATACATAAATTGAACCAGTCATAAAAATATTGAAGTGAATTCAGTAAGTTCTCACCTAACGTTCGGGTTATGTTCCTGAAAATGCAATGGTATATGAACCAACGTTAAGCAGATCAATTTTCCCCATTAAAAATAAATAAAATACAGGAGTTAGCATCCCCAGCCTCCTTTTGCCCCATGAAAAACATAGTACAGTATACATCGCGAGATAGGGTCCAAGGATGTTCGCTATATACTAAATCGCGATATATAATTACATGTAATCAATGGGTAAAATAGGGTCACGTTCTGGAGGCAAAAAAAAAAGTGACTAAACTTGACTTAAAGACTTAATTTTCGTACTAACTAAAGCACCAATGAACACTAGACTCAGGAACAACAGACCAGCTATTTTAATGTCCGTATCAAGGAACACCAGACTCAGCAGCTGACGCACCATCCTGGGAACACCAGACTCGGCAGAAGACGCCACCCTCACTTGACAATCCCACACCTACATAACCAATGCCAAAAATATTAATTACAGTATTAAATCTTTTCCATTAAGCTTTCCATTTTCTTCATTTCACTTTTCATGTCACTAGCAACCCATTTGCACTTGCCTTAAAAGTCATAATCTGCAGCAGGGTCGGCTGCTTTCTCGTCACTCGCTCGGAAAGACTCAGCGGGCGAGCGCAGAGCTGTCTTAACACATGGGTACACTGGGCAGTTGCCCAGGGGTCCCGTAAATAGAGCACACCACTACTAAATTAATGACGACGTCGATGATGCACCTAATGAAGTACATGAGGTTGCTAGGCCTGTCGAAGTCCGCCACCAAATCTCGGAGGGTAATCTAGAATTAAAACAGAAAAATTGGACCTTGTATCCACTGGAAGAAAAATAGGAAATTTACTAAACTATAACAGAACAAATCACCATCGCTGTTGGGAACGGTGCATTCGGATTTAGTAAATTTATCGCCGTGCAAACTATTTTGATAAAAAATTTTCGCAAATAATATCCGTGAATCAATACTACAGTACATGGACGGAATTGATCTCTTATTTCAATTTTTGTCTGATTATCGATTATGTATTAATCTGGCAAATATATTCAGGAGCGAATTAACTTTTAATTGGAACCAAGAAATTTTTTTATGGTGGTACAGTATAGTACTGTACTGTATACTTAAAATTTTATTTTGAGGCAGTTCAAAGTTTTTTTTTTTTTTGCTGTCCTAGTTGTTTAATTTGCCTGTTTGTATTTTTCCAATCGGTTAATCATATAAATAAAATAATTATTCTAATGAAATTATACATTTACTAATATGTTATTATAAAACAGTACGCTAAATTACATTTAGTATACAGTAGTCATAATTGACCAATGTTCCATTTTTGGAACATTCATTTTTTGGAGACCAATAATTTTTTTTTTTAATTGTTAACAAATTCAAGTCAATAATAACAAAAAGTTAGTATGGATAAAAACAATTATTTTTTGGTATATCTAGTCTTGGTCGTTAATGGGTTAAGGCTGTGCGGTAAACCGTAGTTTCGTTCACTTTAGAAAACACGAAGCAACTCGCTTCTCTGTTTACATGCGAGTGCTTCGTCGTGGTAAGGTTTATTGTGTTGCAGTATCATTGATGGGTCAGGGAACTGTCTTATACCACAAATATGAGCTAAAATCATAAAATTTAGGCTGAAAATCGAACCTACTCTTATTTGAAGGTCGCCTAGTGTGCCGAAATATACGGTACATACATATATATATACTTAACCTTGTCTAACAGGCTTTAATTCTTTCCAGGTGGACAATTCCTTGAGCAGAAATGAAGCGTACCTATACGAGTGGATCACAGAAGAAGAAAAGAGCTGTAGAGGAGAAGGAGAAAATTAGCAAACTTCCAAAGTTATCAGCTTGGTTCACCCTTGGTGCAACAGCTACTGCTCCTCTGGACACAGCATCAACATCTATGTCCACTCCTGCAAGCACTTCTACATCCAATCTTCCAGTTCCAGACACACCATTATCTACTCCTGCTGCTGGGGACTTTCCACAAGAAGAAATGCACGAATCTGTAACGGCAAAGGAGAATGTGATTTACCTTCTGACAGATCCAGGACTATGGAACACTAAGAATGTTAGTACAGTGGATTAATGTATTCGCAATGGGCCGGCATCATGTCAGAATTATAATTGTGACCTTTCAAATTCCTGTCGAGTGTATGATGGAGGAGAAAGAACGCAGACAAGGTATTTATCAAAAACAGTATTCAAACGTGAACTGCGGAATGGCGAGTCTATAAAATGCGAATGGCTGCTCTATTCACTATCCCAAGGTTGTTTGTACTGCTTTGCATGTTGCCTGTTGTCCAAGAAAGAATCCCCCTTTGCTACATCAGGATTCAATGATTGGAAACACAGCAATCTTATTGTAGAACACGAAATTGGAGAAAAACATCGCAGGTGCATGATGGCATATTCGATTCGGCAGAAAGAAAATGGGTGTGTGGATTCTGTATTGCTCAAACATCATCGTTCAGAGCAGGAGTACTGACATAATGTGTTGACACATGTGGTTTCTATACGCTTTCTTGCTTCCAGAGGTTTGGCATTTCGTGGAGAGAATCAAACCAAGCGGATTGTGAAGAGCTGCAGAAGGACCTCTGTGAGCTCCAAGAATGGTCGAAGAAATGGCTGCTGAGATTCAATGTCACGAAGTGTAAGAGGATGCACCTGGGGCGTACCAACGGTAAGGAGGCGTATCATATGTCCCAACAGGATGAAGAAGCTGCACTATTTGAGACTGAATGTGAGAAGGACCAAGGTGTGTATGTTGACAATGAGCTAAAGTTCTCGGGCCATTGTGAGAAAAAGGAAAATCAGGCAAATAAATTATTGGGTCTTATAAGGTCGTTCAGATATCTCGACGGTCCATCCCTCGTAACGATCTTCAAGAATGAAGTGCTTCCCCATTTGGAGTACTATCACCCCGTCTAGTCTCCGAGATATGCTACGAACTGTCAGTTGGTTGAAAATGTTCAAAGGAGGGCCACCAGACTGGTGCCTGCACTTCGACACCTCAGCTGCCCTGAGAGATTGGAGCGTCTGAACTTGCCGCTTATACTACAGACGGGCAAGAGGTGACCTAATTGAGGTGTACAAGCATCTCAAGGGGGCACTACTCAGTCGAGTGTCCTTGGAGCTGGCGGACGCTCTCCCCACACTGGGGGGTCACAGCTCTAGATTGAAGAAGCCGCAAGTCCAGAAAACTGTAAGGGCAAACTTTTTCAGAGTGAGAGTTGTGAACTCTTGGAACAATCTGCCAGAAAGAGTTGTGACAGCACCGAGTGTGAGCTCTTTCAAGACCAGACTTGAGCAACACTGGAGCAGGTTCAGGTACATTCAGGAGCCGGTGCATGCCCAGTACTTGCCAACTGTGTGACAGAGACGTGGCCGATCGCCCGGGCGGCTAGCGAGCCGATCTTTTGGTGAAGAGGATAAAAGTAAATTGGGTCAACAAAAAATGGAAACTTTTCAGGTATTCTAGAACTGTTCAGTGAATTTGACCCTTTTTTTGGAAGAGCATCTCAAAGTGTACGGAAATGCTGGAAAGGGGAACCCATTGTATCTATCGACAAACAATTATGAAGAATTTATTGAATTAATGGGACAACACTCCAGACATCTCGCACATTGATCAACTGACATTTACTGTCCGGTACATTCATGGATGTGAGCCTGTGGAGCGTTTTCTCAAGTTCATCCCCATCTTTTCTCATGGAGCGAAGAATCTAGCAGACACTGTTGTAGATTTCCTGAAAGAGAACAACATACCGTTATCAAACTGCCATGATCAATCTTATGACAATGCCTCAAATATGTCTGAACGCTACACTGGATTGCAAGCACGGATCCGTGAACCGAATGAATTCGCCATCTATGTCCCTTGTGCTGGACACAGTCTGAACTTGGTGGGAGTAAAAGTGGCAGAGTGTGGTCCACAGATTGTCTCCTTCTTTGAATTTGTTCAGCGTTTGTACTCCTTTTTATCGGCTTCCACACATCGTTGGAATGTACTGAAGTCATCTTTAGGAAAGGATCATGTTGTGGTCAAGTGTCTCTCTGACACGAGATGGTCGGCACATTTTGATGGTGTCACTGCTCTGCATGGAGGTTTCGAGAAAATTCAAGATGCACTGGATGCTCTATCAGCTGACACTGACCAGGAAGTGAACACACGGCGCGATGCAAAAGGATTGAGCAAGAAATGGAGAAGCTGGAGACTATCTTTCTGACAAATCTTTGGAACGACATTCTCGAAAGAGTGAACAAAACAAATAAGGTTCTGCAATCAAAAGATGTGGACATGCTTGTAGCTATGAATCATCTCAAGTCTCTGAAAACTTATCTTCAGGAAATTAGAGACAAATTCAATGAATATGAACTGAAGGGCAAGAGTACCCATAGGTGTCTAGGTTCGGATTATAGCGATGCAAACAAGCGTGAACGAAAGCTAAGTGTACGTCTTGCTTGATGTGATGGATCAGCAGAACAGATACTTCTGCACAAAAGTGAAAAATTCTAGGTGGAAACATTCCTCCCTATTCTGGACTCTCTGAACTCTGACCTGACAAAACGTGCAGAAGCCTACCAATGGATTGGAAATCTGTTTTCCTTCTTCGGTCAATTGAAAACAATTGATTCTGAGGAGCTAAACAAAAAGTGTGAAAAATTGGCCAATATGTACCACAAAGACCTTGATTGCGGTGAACTTCTAAATGAATGCAAGTAGCTCAAGCACTACATGGTCCACGATGAAGAATGTGAGACACTGCAGTGTACAGTAAACTCATTTCAGATAACTTGCAAATTCTTTGTTTCCCAATGTTGAAGTCTCACGCAGAGTGTTCATGTACAGTACATGATGGTGACCAACTGTACAGGGGAGCGCTCATTTTCAAGATTGAAACTAACAAAGAATCAGCTTCGCAGCACAATGGGACAGCAGCGTTTGAACTGGCTTTCACTCATGTGCATGGAAAATGACATCCTGAAGAACGTCGACTTCCAACCAATTATAAAACAAATCTCTGCAAAGAAATGTCACAAATGTTTGTGTTGAATAATTCTTGCTTTACCAATTGATTATATGTTTAAACGTTTGTGTTATTCAACGTATTTATTAATGATATGTTCAATTTTACTGAAAGTTTTAGTTTTCATTTGAGTGGGTGGGTGGGTAGGGGCCCCAGGACATTGCTTTGCCCAGGGCCTACACTGCTGTTAAGATGGCCCTGGGCAAACGTCAATGCATGAGTGAGCAGCCACGGTGGCACCTCTGGTGAGCAAATAATGCATTTGTTTGCCATGGTGGTACATTAGAAATATTTCCTGCCAAATTTCCCTCACGAAATAAACAAAAAATTATTGCTATACTGTATACAGGTGCTCCTCTACTTACGAACGAGTTACATTCCTGAGGCTTGTTTGTAAGTCCAACTTTACTCTTGTAGATACCAAACATATTGTAAAAAATGAAAAGATTATGGATATTTAGTACAGCTATACCCTTTAATACAGCCTTAAAATCTGGCTCACTCTTCTCCTCTTAGGTAATGTTTGTTCTGTCTGTAATTTTCTTCAAAATAATCCAGTCTCATCCACATTAAACACCTGTTCTGGCAGGTAACCCCCCTCAGTGATGATGTTTGTATCTCTGAAAGTTTGTAAGTTGAATGTTCATAAGTAGAGGAGCACCTGTATAGGAAAATGTCGATAATTTTGATAGCCGTGATATAAAAAATCGTTATATAAAGTTGCGATATATCCCGACCCTACTGTGTGTGTGTGTGTGTGTGTATATATATATATATATATATATATATATATATATATATATATATATATATATATATATATATATATATATATATATATATATATATATATATATATATATATATATATATATATATATATATATATATATATATATATATATATATATATATATATATATATATATATATATATATATATATATATATATATATATATATATATATATATATATATATATATATATATATATATATATATAACTACTAAGTTTGTATTAGTATTCACCGATGGGCGGAGGTGGTAGAGCAAGTGTGTGGTGGGTAGTGAGGCGAAGGAGAAGGATGGTGGGAGGGGAGGAGGGTGGTGAGTCACTGAGACTCTGCGGCTGCTTCCTCTTCCTCCTCCTGTGTAAAGGCCTGGCCTTCGGGATATAAATCCCTTGCCAGCCTAATCAGGATCTTATAAAAGGAAAGTCAAGAACCATGGGTTTCCAAGGGGTAACAAATAACCATTAGAGATTGACATCTCTTTATAACGAAAATACTGTAATCACAATAATTGACACCACTCACATAAATATTAAATAAAAAAAATACGGGAGTCAAACAAAGTACAGATATTTCCAACAGCTGTAGCCCGGTGGAATGTTCTGTTAACACGGTGGTCCGCTCTCAGGGGGAAGGTCCAGGGCAGCTTCCTCACTTGGCGCCGGCGTTGGTGGGCGATGTCTTGCCACACAGGAGAGACGTCAGGGCACGGACGGTGGATAGGGCGTGGAAGAAGTGGCGATGATGTGGCAGCAGCGGTAGTAGCTGGAGCAGGTGTCCTGAGATTGACAGCCAAATAGTGAAGGACTGGGGAATCAGCCCACGAGCCCCAGGTGCCTCAGATGAGTACACGACCAGAATTGTAATCTAACAGGGGGGAAGTGCAGCTGTGGTGCTGGGTGATGTGTGATGAAGCAGCAGCGACCTTCTCACCTCCGTCTACCCCCCCTAGTGGGGCCGCAAACGAGCGGCAGACAACCATCCCGCTCATTACTGCCCTTACATCCTGTTCTGACTGGGGTTCATCCGCCGCTGTTTGCTCCTCCTCCATTGAAGTTAGCTCATCCTCGGCTGCCAGCTGTTGTGAAGAAGCTGCTTCTGCCATCCCGTGACGAACAAATGAATCCAGCGTTGACTGCTTGGTGCTACTCTTCTTCTCCTTATAGATCTCGGTGTAACAATCAAGACTGTCATCAATACTGCATTGAACCTTTGAGCTACATTCTCTGTTTGGGTCATCATCTATAAGGATTTGCATTGCTTGCTGGAACATGTTCAACGATTCTGCCAACCTCTTGGAAGTTAGCGTTCGTTGAGGTTTTTCTTCTTCGTCGTCGTCTTCAACGGGACTGTGTTCTGTTAGTTGTTGCAGATCTTCATTGGTGAGCTCTTCTGTATGGGATGCCAGGACGTCCTCAGTATCCTCTGATTCCAGCTCATCAAAGCCTGCCTGTCTAGCCAAGCTGAGGATATCCGTATTCACTGCTGGGACTAAGTCCGTGAATCCTGTAAAACTGTTGATGCACTCAGGCCACAGTTTACGCCACACACCATTCAGGCAACTATCTGAAACCTCTTCTCATGCCTTGCCAATGTTGTCAATTGCATAAAGAATGTTGAAGCCCTGCCAATATTCTTGGATCGTAGGTTTATTTTCTCCATCTGTAGCCTTGAGCAGCTGGGCCACAGTATGGCGTAAATAATATGCCTTGAATGCGGCGATGATGCCTTAGTCCATAGGCTGCATCAGTGCTGTCGTGTTGGGAGGCAGGAATAAAACTTTTACACTGTCATGCAAGTCGTCGAGATTGGGAGGATGAGCTGGAGCATTGTCAACGATCAGAAAATTTTTTAAGTCAAGGTTCTCCTTGACACAGTATTCCTTCATTGCAGGGACGGTGTACACATTTAACCACTGGCTAAATATGGCGTCGGTTATCCATGCCTTCTTATTTGCCTTGCAGATCACTGGAAGGTGATCGTAAGAGTAACCTTTCAGGGCCCATGGGTTGGCAGCGCGAGAAATCAGCACAGGCTTCAGCTTGAAGTCACCGGCAGCGTTCGTGCCAAGCAGCAGCATCAAGCGGTCTTTTGCCGCTTTAAAACCTGGCGCTCTTTTCTCCTCCTTGGAGATATACAGTAGGTCCTCTCAGGCATCCTCTTCCAAAAGAGACCAGTCTCCTTGCTGGATAATTCGTTTGAATTCTGGCGGGAATGTCTCATCAGCAACCGTATCAGAACTGGCAGCTTCACCAGTCATCTTAATATTGTGGAAGTTTTACGGCTGGTTGTAAAGGTCTCTTCCTTCAATCCTTCTCCTTCTTCTGCCTTTAAGTCATCAAACAAGGATCTGGCCTGATGCTGGATAACCATAAGGCTCACAGGCACGTTGCATTGATTCTGGTGCTCCATCCACATAGCCAGCATCTTTTCCACTTTTTCTGTCACAGTGCTTCTAGTACGAGTTATCTTAGTTGTACTCAGAGAAGAACCACTTCCAGTACTAACCTTAATCTTATCATCGTTGGTCCAGATAGTACGCACCGTTGTGAGGGCTAGACCTAGCACAGCAGTTATGTCCACAGCACGTTCCCCTTTTTCAAATCGGGTTAATACATCTATTTTCGAAGCAAGGGTAATGCTTTTACGTTTCCTCCTAACTACACTCGCATCAGTAGCACTTGATGGGCGCTTGGAAGCCATTTCAAATAGTTAGAGTACAGTTTTAGAGCAAAAGCACTTAAGCACAAACGAATGATGTGAAGTCGTAACAGAGACTGGCTTGGCGTCGCTGTGACATTACGTGAGTGAAGGCAGCGCGCCGAGCCGAGAGAGCGCAGCGCGGCCAGACAAGAGCGGATGATGGGCCGTAGAAAGTAGTCCGTGGCGACGCAAAACGATGTAGTATCGGATCACCGGGACGCTAAACGAAATTTTTGGTCTCTAAAGTTTAGCGACGTTGTACCGAAACAATGTTAAGCAGGATGACGTTATACGAGGACTTACTGTGCTGTACTGTATGGTTGCTTTGACTCCATCAGTTCTTTGCTGCTGCTGCCAGACACTTATTTATATGTTAACCATTCAATGATTACCACATTCAATAATGATTTTTGGCGAGATACATCTCACAACTTAAAGATTCCTTTGAGCTCCTCTTGTGAGAGATAAGAGTCCAGTTTGCAGCAGCATTTAACCTCTCAATGGATGTTGATGAAGGGATGGAACATGTAACAAGTTGGATTCATTGGTTAAAGGCCTGGCCTTTGGGATATAAATCCCTTGCCAGCCTAATCAGGATCTTATAAAAAGGAAAGTCAAGAACCATGGGTTTCCAAGGGGTAACAAACAACCGTTAGAGATTGACATCTGTTTCCTACGAAAATAATCACAATAATTGACACCACTCACACAAATATTAAATAAATAGTACTCGAGCCAAACAAACAATAGTAAGAAGTACAGGTATTTCAACGGCTGCAGATGAATCTTCCTCCTAACCAGCATGGTGGAATGTTCTGGTAACGCAGTGATCCGCTCTCAGGGGGAAGGTCCAGGGCAGCTTCCTCACTTGGCACCTGCGTTGGTGCGCGATGTCTTGCCACATAGGAGAGACGCCAGGGCACTGTAGTAACT